CAAACTAAAGATTTTAAAGACCGTTCAAAAAAATTAATTAAAACATCTAGTATTTTATTATGTATATTTTGAATAATCTCTCATCGTCTTACCGAACAAATGAACATATCAATGATTATAGCATTGCACATAGTATAAATAAGTCAACCCTGCGTATGTCATTTCATTTTCATCCAAATGCTGAATTTGTGTCAAAACGCTGAATGTTTACAGCTGTTACATTTAAATGGTATTATACCAAAAGCTAGAGTAGAATGTTAGCGTCGGCTGCTAGACTTTTTTAAAATTTCAAATTTAATTTCAAAAAAAGTGAAACCCTAAACTAAAATGATGGCTTCGACATTCCCTAGTTCTCAAAATTATCTTTCTTTCATCTCAAAAATCATGAAAATCCGTCAAATGGTTGACTCAGAATCGTGAAATAAAAAAAACCCTGTCACGTTTTATAAGATTAGAGTTATGATATCAGTTTAATTGGTTTAAAAACAGCTATATAATAAATATTGTTGTTCATGTTTATTTACATTTTGGAAATACGTCTGTAGAAAGTGCTGTATTTCAATGAACAAACGTTAACAGTTTTATATGATTTTGCTTAACATAGTATTCTGTAAAGTTTAATTAATGCACACTGGTCGGCTCAATTATTGTCGAAGAATGAGGGCAAACATGTTTATCTTATGTTGTTAAATTTTTTTTTGTATCTATTGCCTTAAAATGTAAGTAGGAGTTAAAACCTATGGATTCTTCAAATTGAAGGATTTAAAAAAATTAGGACCTTCTTGGGTTTCAAGGCGGATTCATGAGATTCGAATACTGTACGTATTCTTATAATATTTTTTTATTGTTTTGTTATAGTTTGGTTGTTAAAATGGATATATATTTTTTTAATATTCGCGGTGTCAAAATTACTCTTCTGATTATAAAGCATACCCCTACCTGTTTATATTAAGGCCCAGACATTCAATACATGAGTTAATAATGTATAAAAGTACCGGACTAGACAAACAAAGGATATTTCCATCATAAGTGACTATAAGCCAAAATGTTATGATATGCACAGGAATGTAAAACGTTGGTTGTATCCATGAGTCTTACATGTGAATGGAAATGTAAGGGTGTGATTTTAACTAAAACTATTATTTCGAGGAAGAAATCATGACAGTCAAAGATAAGGGACAACGACATCGGTGTCCTATACACACTTCTCTTGCTTCTGACAACCCGTATCCTTCACTACAATTAACCCGTATAACCCGTAACTACTCCTCTAAATTTGATCACGTTTCTACGCTCAAGGGCCATAAATTACGAAGACGTTTATAAAAATTATCCTAATGTAATGTATAAGGGCAGATGTTATAGATAAGAAAGATGTTGAGTAGTACAACCGTTTTGGGTTGACTTTGAATGTAAATAAACTGATAAAAGTGAATTCAAAAATAAAGTAATCTTATATTTTCTGTTAAAGATTACATACATTGCATGGTATTTTTTGGTAATACGTAATACAATAAATTAATAATACCTACCAACAAAAGAACAAACAATTTAATATACCTGACATAATACCTCTTATATACTCTCCGATATGAACGTAGAAGTGTTAAACAATCAAAAGGAAATAGTCTATATAGGCAGGGTTCTGTGCGATTACAGCCAATTTAATCATTTACCCCGAGGACGATGCATAATAGCATTGACTATACACCTCTACGTTCTATATACCTATACGTAGAGGTGTATAGTCAATGATAATAGGCAGATATTATATGAAATAACAATTTGAACGTCAAAGGACTGCAGCCTGCTAGCAACAAGTTCTGAGATGCCCACGCTCTAGTCACTTCAACAGAGTTTCAAAAAGACGGAAGGGCGTTTGAGAGCACTAAAGGGTCCGCCTTGCCACTTAACATTACTCGACCCTTTTGCTTTCCGAATCATTAACTCCAGAAGATCCTTTAGAGGAAAATACATTTCCCTAACCTTTTTAAGATTCATGTCATTCAATGTAGGGACGGTTTTTTCCGTTTCTTTAAAGAGATCAAGTGGGTACGATGGTACTTTAAGTTGATATTCTAAAAACTAAGTATTGAGCTTGGATCGAAAAGAGTCAATTTTTGCTCTATTGACGGAATTTACCATGTTGTAAATCACCATGTTGTAGGAATGGCTGCGGCCGGAGAGTCAGTGCCAGGGGCTGGCTCCTACTTCAACAGCTGGCTGCAGCGATGTAGGGAGTCTACTACATTATATATGTATCACCATTTTGTAGGAATGGCTGCGGCCGGAGAGTCAGTGCCAGGGGCTGGCTCCTACTTCAACAGCTGGCTGCAGCGATGTAGGGAGTCTACTACAGTATATATGTATCACCATTTTGTAGGAATGGCTGCGGCCGGAGAGTCAGTGCCAGGGGCTGGCTCTCCTACTTCAACAGCTGGCTGCAGCGATGTAGGGAGTCTACTACAGTATATAATGTATCACCATGTTGTAGGAATGGCTGCGGCCGGAGAGTTAGTGCCAGGGGTTGGCTCCTACTTCAACAGCTGGCTGCAGCGATATAGGGAGTCTACTACAGTATATAATGTATCACCATGATTTAGGAATGGCTGCGGCCGGAGAGTTAGTGCCAGGGGCTGGCTCCTACTTCAACAGCTGGCTGCAGCGATATAGGGAGTCTACTACAGTATATAATGTATCACCATATTTTAGGAATGGCTGCGGCCGGAGAGTCAGTGCCAGGGGCTGGCTCCTACTTCAACAGCTGGCTGCAGCGATGTAGGGAGTCTACTACAGTATATATGTATCACCATTTTGTAGGAATGGCTGCGGCCGGAGAGTCAGTGCCAGGGGCTGGCTCTCCTACTTCAACAGCTGGCTGCAGCGATGTAGGGAGTCTACTACAGTATATAATGTATCACCATGTTGTAGGAATGGCTGCGGCCTGAGAGTTAGTGCCAGGGGTTGGCTCCTACTTCAACAGCTGGCTGCAGCGATATAGGGAGTCTACTACAGTATATAATGTATCACCATGATTTAGGAATGGCTGCGGCCGGAAAGTTAGTGCCAGGGGCTGGCTCCTACTTCAACAGCTGGCTGCAGCGATATAGGGAGTCTACTACGGTATATAATGTATCACCATATTTTAGGAATGGCTGCGGCCGGAGAGTCAGTGCCAGGGGCTGGCTCCTACTTCAACAGCTGGCTGCAGCGATGTAGGGAGTCTACTACAGTATATAATGTATCACCATGTTGTAGGAATGGCTGCGGCCGGAGAGTCAGTGCCAGGGGCTGGCTCCTACTTCAACAGCTGGCTGCAGCGATGTAGGGAGTCTACTACAGTATATATGTATCACCATTTTGTAGGAATGGCTGCGGCCGGAGAGTCAGTGCCAGGGGCTGGCTCCTACTTCAACAGCTGACTGCAGCGATGTAGGGAGTCTACTACAGTATATATGTATCACCATTTTGTAGGAATGGCTGCGGCCGGAGAGTCAGTGCCAGGGGTTGGCTCATACTTCAACAGCTGGCTGCAGCGATGTAGGGAGTCTACTACAGTATATATGTATCACCATTTTGTAGGAATGGCTGCGGCCGGAGAGTCAGTGCCAGGGGCTGGCTCTCCTACTTCAACAGCTGGCTGCAGCGATGTAGGGAGTCTACTACAGTATATAATGTATCACCATGTTGTAGGAATGGCTGCGGCCTGAGAGTTAGTGCCAGGGGTTGGCTCCTACTTCAACAGCTGGCTGCAGCGATATAGGGAGTCTACTACAGTATATAATGTATCACCATGATTTAGGAATGGCTGCGGCCGGAGAGTTAGTGCCAGGGGCTGGCTCCTACTTCAACAGCTGGCTGCAGCGATATAGGGAGTCTACTACAGTATATAATGTATCACCATATTTTAGGAATGGCTGCGGCCGGAGAGTCAGTGCCAGGGGCTGGCTCCTACTTCAACAGCTGGCTGCAGCGATGTAGGGAGTCTACTACAGTATATAATGTATCACCATGTTGTAGGAATGGCTGCGGCCGGAGAGTCAGTGCCAGGGGCTGGCTCCTACTTCAACAGCTGGCTGCAGCGATGTAGGGAGTCTACTACAGTATATATGTATCACCATTTTGTAGGAATGGCTGCGGCCGGAGAGTCAGTGCCAGGGGCTGGCTCTTACTTCAACAGCTGGCTGCAGCGATGTAGGGAGTCTACTACAGTATATATGTATCACCATTTTGTAGGAATGGCTGCGGCCGGAGAGTCAGTGCCAGGGGTTGGCTCCTACTTCAACAGCTGGCTGCAGCGATGTAGGGAGTCTACTACAGTATATATGTATCACCATTTTGTAGGAATGGCTGCGGCCGGAGAGTCAGTGCCAGGGGCTGGCTCTCCTACTTCAACAGCTGGCTGCAGCGATGTAGGGAGTCTACTACAGTATATAATGTATCACCATGTTGTAGGAATGGCTGCGGCCGGAGAGTCAGTGCCAGGGGTTGGCTCCTACTTCAAAAGCTGGCTGCAGCGATGTAGGGAGTCTACTACAGTATATAATGTATCACCATGTTGTAGGAATGGCTGCGGCCGGAGAGTCAGTGCCAGGGGCTGGCTCCTACTTCAACAGCTGGCTACAGCGATGTAGGGAGTCTACTACAGTATATAATGTATCACCATGTTGTAGGAATGGCTGCGGCCGGAGAGTCAGTGCCAGGGGTTGGCTCCTACTTCAACAGCTGGCTGCAGCGATGTAGAGAGTCTACTACAGTATATAATGTATCACCATGTTGTAGGAACGGCTGCGGCCGGAGAGTCAGTGCCAGGGGCTGGCTCCTACTTCAACAGCTGGCTACAGCGATGTAGGGAGTCTACTACAGTATATAATGTATCACCATGTTGTAGGAATGGCTGCGGCCGGAGAGTCAGTGCCAGGGGTTGGCTCCTACTTCAACAGCTGGCTGCAGCGATGTAGGGAGTCTACTACAGTATATAATGTATCACCATGTTGTAGGAATGGCTGCGGCCGGAGAGTCAGTGCCAGGGGTTGGCTCCTACTTCAACAGCTGGCTGCAGCGATGTAGGGAGTCTAGACGTCTTGTCCTCTTCATTGTTGCCATCGCCCTCCTCCTGGACAACATGCTGCTCACTACAGTCGGTAAGTCAAGATATATCATGTAACTTGTAATAAAGATCACGAAGTAGTAAAATGTTGTATTATGTACTCATGCATTATATTAGGTCGTTTATGATTAGGAATTTAGGGTTCATTGTCTATTTAGTACACCCTTTTGAACATACTCTTTGGTATGAAACGCTGGCGTTTGCAACGCCCATGAACCTATGTAAAATTGTCTATACACATACAAAATGTAATGTAGTTTACGTGAAGTTTTTGTAACTTAACACACATCTCGAGTAAAAATAATATGGATCATTTATAAGAAATGTTCAGCTAATGAATACAAGCAGTGCAACAGGTGGACTGACCAACTAACGCACACGCACACACGTTTATAACAATCAGTCAACCGCAGACTGTGTCGGACAAATCAATAAACGTGATCCAATAAACTGTAGCTGCCAAGAGAAAATAAGTTGGTTCGTGTTTCCGTTTTAAACTGAACTCTATCCCATTCTGTTACGTCGTGCAGTCACCAAAGGTTATTGTCAATTTTACTATCACCCTCTATACGGGTACGGAGAAAGTATTTCTCACTCCATTCAACACCCATCCTTCACTCATATTTGGGTTAAAATACGCACATAGGTGGCGATCCCATCTCATATGGTAATAATGTTAGTGTTATTGTTTTTGTTAAAAGTTTTGGGATTGAGTTTTAGGTAGAAATATCTGCTTCAGTATTCAGTTTTTTATTAGTATGCCTATTCTAATAAAAAGGTGTCAAGCAAAAGGTGGGAAGACTACATGGGGTTCCTTCAGTTTCTATCAGACAATGACAACCTACGGTTTTTTCAGTACCAGTTGGTCAATGAGTAGGCAGACCACTTATTATTCCTTAGTTAATGTTCTAGTCAGAGAATGCCTCGGTCGATTACTTGTCCTTCAATTATAGTTAGAACATAACTTGAACTTGACTCTGATCAGTAAGGCTTCTTTTATGCACGACGTTTTCGGTCGGGCGGAATCTTTTATGCAATTTTTCCGCTGAGCGGAATCCGCTGGTTTTTTTTAATTATGTCCGCGGTGGGGGGGGGGGGTGCTGCCAAATTTGTTCATTTGGCCATCATCAGTAACATAAGACAAGAAAGACCCTTGTTTATCGGTTTTGAACTATTTATGTGTGAAGAAAAATAGACAACGAGGAAGGAGGTGGGCTGTTCACCCGCCTCCCGGTGAATTTCGCAAACTTATATGGTGTGCTGCTAAATGATTGTATTATTCCGAGAATTTAAACAAAAATGTAAACTTAATTATACTAACCATGTAAGTTTTTTTGCAATTAGGTCGAGTATATAACTTCTTTAGCTGTATCCTCGATCTATTAGGTGATTTCGATACTGTGGATGACAGAGCATGGGGTAGGTTGGTAGCGCTGCATTCCGCCCGATGGAAAACGCCGTGGCATAAAAGGGTTCCATTTGATCATATATAAAAAAAAACGCCCCGACGGAATGCCAAAACTCGGCGGAGTGTATATCCTCCGCCCGACGGACGGAAACGCTGAAACGTGACGGAGATTCCGTCGTGCATAAAAGGGCCCAATTTGATCCCATGTTAAAAAAACTCCCCGACGGAACGCCTGGTGGATTCCACCCGATGGAAAACGTTGTGCATAAAAGAGGCATAAAAGCTATGCAGCCTACTAATCATTCCTCAGTACTTGTCAGACAACCACAGGGTCATATGCTGTCTGTATCACATCACTAGACAGTGACTGCTAAGTGTGGTATTGGCCGCCCTGAGGGAGAGATAAGGAAGTGAGACCGGAACCAATATCCCTCATTAGACAGTGCTGTATTGATTTCCACATCGGCACATCTAGATAATAATCATCTTTGACTGACATTTACCACTGATTTAACTAACACTGTTTTTTTCTCTAGCAGTTTGATGTTTGTCAAAAATTACAGTTAATAAAATGTATGTAATAACATTTTATGCGTTTTTATTTTCTACATAATTTTTTAGGTGATGATTGCTTTAAGGTTTACAGTTTGTTAGATTGTTGTGTTCTATTCAAATTTAGTTCCTCATCCCTTCGTCCAGTTGTAAGGCTAGAACTACTACCCTTAGATGGCTTTTCATGCTGATATGGTATCAAATTATTACTTCTTGATCAGCATTGTACGTGTTATTAATTTACGGAAAGTAAATAAAAGAAACGTCTTATAACATTTAAAACATATATTTACATTTACGCTTATACTGTTACTCATAAGACGGTAAATATACAATACCACCGCCGCAGCAAACCTGCAGACTAAGTGAATTTCAACCTGTCTGATTAAATTTTCATTTAAATATTTCCATAAATAAGACATATTTACTACCTATTTAAATAACATTAGATTTCACGAGTTGCTACGGGGAAGGTAACAAGTGTTTTTTGACCATACGTCAACAGCATAGGATGAAATAAATAAATTTGTTAAATTTTATCAATACATATCCATAAACAAGTAAACTACAACAATTTTCATTTGCTCCTTAAGAATAACATGGGAATTTTAAATTACACTATTTTTGAATTTTCTCCGTTGATGTTAGGCATACAACAGCGCTTCAATATACTAAATTATTTCTTTTTTTAAGCTCTACATAACGGTTTAAAAAGAAATTGCAAATGTTTTTGTTTTTAGGGTTAAAAATGGAAAACCCCATTTTTACCCCCTAAAACCCCCCATAAACCCCTGTTCCCATGGCCCGATTATGCTGGATCGCGAACTCGTTCGAATAAACGTAGGTTTACACGTTTGTACCAAAGTTCATTAAAATCGGATCATTTTTGATCGAGTTATCGCGCTAACGGACACACTGTATATATATGAATTTGAACGGATGGTGTTTTTGGCCTCTAGGGACCTCAAAATGAAAAATTAAATCGGTCCCGGGTCCAGGTCTTACCATGAGTACTACGGTAATAGCTTATTCCCTATATGGGAAATTCGCTAAAAAAAGATGGTAAGTGGTGATCGATTTTGATTAGACACTCCAATCGAATTCGATCACCATCTTTTTGCATATTGACCGTCTTGTGAGTAACAGTATAGGCGTAGATATATGTTTTAAGTGTTATAAGACGTTTCTTTTTTTACTTTTCTATTATTTAATAAAATCTGTCAAATAAAACTTTAGATTTGACTCTTCAGAGTTTAACACAAATATCTCCAATCCAGTATTTTCTAACAACAATAAATTCGGAGGTTGCTTAGCCTTTTTGCAAATAACTTTGAATTTGTGAGGAAATCGACCAAAGTGGAGAGTGATATTCAGAAAGAGAATACAATTTTGTACTAATTACTATTGTGTATTAAATTAAAACACTCAAAAAAGGCAGCCTGAAGTTGGCTACATATAGATACTTGGAAATAAAAACTTGGAAAACCCCGTTTTTAATGCATTTTTTCTATTTTTCACCTCAAATATTTAATAAAATAAAACATTCATCACTATTTTCAAATCTACACGAATTATGGTATCCAATGACCCTTAAATTAACCAATTCGGTCCAGTAGAACTCTAGATATATCCACTCAAAACTCAAACTCGAAAGTTTTGACGAAAACAATACTTTTTCCATATACTATGGTATGTATAGGGGGAGAAAGTAAAATATTGAATTGAATCTATCAAATATACCAAAAGCGAAATAACTCACGATTGCGCTATGAGAACGACTGTCCCTGGAGTTAAGTGGCCAGCGAGCCACATCCATGTTTTATGTAACAAGAGGAGAACGTCCCCGCGCTCTTACTCGTGATCGTCAGCACTAAACAAACCCGCCTGGGTGCTTTTAATGGAATTTAACTTAAGTTTATTTTCAAACAGCTAACTGTAATGGAATGTTTTAAAGTGCTTTGTACAAATTAAACTATAGAAAATTGTATTTACTCCACCAACGAATATGAAACTCTAGTTAGCCTACTGTATTGAACTTCTCGTAAGATCTGAGATGTAATAGCCTAGTAAACTGATGTTTATGGCAACAATTAACCATTATCCAAGCAATATTACAAATATTGATTTTAATAATTGGCGTACACAAGCCAAATTAAAAAAGCAAAATAGCCTTAAATGTTATTTTTTTCAGTACATGCATAAACATTTTGGGGACGCGAAGAGGACTTCCCGAAAGGTTTTTTACTATCCGTTATGCAATGAAATGTAATATTACAACAACAATTAGAATGACTTCGGGCAACGGCGCGGGTGGGGTAGTGCCAACGATTGGCCTTACCGCAAATTCTCCCCAAAGTCCTATTCCGGGTGCAATTAATTGCTCCCGTATATATTTTGGCTTTTTTTGCCCATCATATTGATAGTTTCTTTTAGTTAATAAATAAAAATAAAACTTAATAAATGTCTGTATTCAAATTTCAGCAATAGATTGTACTCAAGTAGTATATACAGTGAAATGTTGCACATAATTGGTTTAGAATATTAAAAACTAATTGCTTAAGAAAAACATATGAAAATTCTAATTGCATTTGATTGATTTTTAGAGCGATTAAAATGTTTTTTTTAACCTACTAGCTTTGATACTTAAATGTTTTTTAACATAAAATACAAGAAAATTTATGATTGTGTAGGGTTAATAGTAAGGTATATGTATTAAATAATCATAGATTCTTTAAATTTGTATTTATACTAGGTACAATGTTTCATGTAGGATGTTCTTCACTGAAAAGGAGTGTTAAGCTCACTTTCTGCCTTTAAAAGTAATATATAAATTGTTGTAGTTCACTTATGAAACAGTTTTTTGGTCATTTTATATATTTTTTTTTACTAAAAATCATATTTGTCTGCCAAAAATGATAACCACTTTGGTTGAAGAGCAAGTTTATCTGATATATATTTTTTTTCAAAATTTTACTAATTTACACTGATTAGAACTCCCTCATATAATTTAAAAATATTTTGTACAGTGAAATAGGTGGACAAACACTGTAGAAAACCTGCTCTTTAATTGTTTA